ATGATACAATTTGAAAGGGACCGGGGCTCATCACAAATTACGTCAACACGGTAACTGAAATAAACACGAGTGTTCACCGGTTGGTATTATTTACCACAAACGAAGTGACAGGCGACTAACTGGCGAAGAAATCAATTAAAATAATGTGGTTCGCTGTAATAGAATTTTCTTAGAAGCTTTTGCCATCATCCACCAGATGGGACAGTATTTTTGTTTTGATTTGAACATAGTTGGTTTTGTGTGCAATATGATCTTTGACAGTGTGCAAAGAGTGTATAATTTTGTCATTTTTTTATGCATTTCAGTTTAGAGTAGAGTGAAAGAGATAGAACCAAAACATTCTAGTACAATCCATTAGTACACACTCAGAAATTTTTACCGTACTCGGTAATTTTTTACCGAACTTTCAACAGCTGAACGTTCGGTAATCAGTTCGGTAAACGAAATGCCTACCGAACGTTCGGTAAACCAATTTTTTTATGAGCTGTCAAAATTACCGAACGATTCGGTACTTTTTTGCGAAGCGAATCGGTAATTTTTTACCGAACTGTTCTGTTAAACTGATTTTCCCACTATTTTTTTTTAATTTTACTACCGTTTTCAGTTAATTTGAATTAAAAAGTCTTGAAATAATATTTATCAGTTTTTATTTAATTTTAAAACCGTCACTGCACTTGGGATACGTGCAATAAAAAATGTATTTGACGCCGAAATGTGTTAGAGCCCGATGTTATGCGATGCAGTCCAGATAAATAACCTGCAATCAAATCATGCTATCGCTGAAAATGCCTGGAAAATAATTGGATTTGCTAAATAAACAGTTACTCACGAAATATGTCGGTGATCCATTGATCATGGTCAAGAATTTTTATCCTTACCTGCTGCACTTGATTCCGGATGCACTATTTACCATTCACTAGTAAATAATGCCTCTCCAGATTTGACAGTTTGATAGTACAAAATTTCGGTAAAATTACTTGTGATTTACGGTTTGTTCGGTATTTTTTTTACCGAATTCGGCGTTTTGGCTTATTTTACAGATCGTTCGGTATTTTTTTACAGAGTTCATCAAATTTATAATCAAACTACAGAAACTTCGTTAAAATTTTACCGAATATTGTTTTTGTTTTGAATTTTTGTTTACCGAAAAATCTGTAATATACTAAATTTACCGATTATTTCCGGTAAAAAATTACCGAACAAGCAAAACTTAGCTGAGTGTGTAGTGTTGCCATGTGGTACAATCCAATAGCAGTGGTGTTGCCATGTCGTACACTGAAAAATTGCAATAGCAGGTGCGTCACCAAAGTTTTCGAGCCGCTCTGTCTGTCATTTCGTTTGTGGTATTACTGAATATTCCATCAGATCTGGACCGATGTGTGATTGTCTTGGAAGGGTCTTAGGATTTATAGGAATGGATCAATGCAGCTAGAAATTCAGTTACATTCTATTCCACGAGTCCAACATCAAGCACATCCCCGTGATCTACGATCCGGTAATTTAGCAGATACATCTCTGTCATCATCCTTCCCTTCCATTGAACTTGTTCATCACGAGAGGCTTCGGTGAGATGGGTGGTCAGATCACCCGTAAAAAAACATCCAATAAAAATACAATGATTTTCATTGTCATTGTAACCATGATATTTACTGTCAAAACATTGGAAATTTTTGTCCATTACCATAAAATCACAACGAAATTCATGGTTCACAACAATGAAAATCATGGTATTTGAGAAATTTACAGTAAAAAAGGGGGTTGTTAAGCATCTTAACAACATAAAAAAGTGATTTTTCTCGAACAAATTTGATCTCATCACACTAATTTTCGTTGTTTGAGCATTGTATCGTTAAAAATCGAAATCTATTTTTCTCCCGTACAATAATTTAACAATAAATTTTAATGTACTCAAAATTCAATACTAAAAATCACTGTAATTTCGTTGTTTTATTATAATTATTTTTTTCGGACAGTCAACTGTAAGGCCAAGCTGAACTTCGAAAATTTGATTCGCGGCAGGGTAAGTAGGCTCAGCGGTTCCCGCTTGACGACCGTAAGCAATTTGCTATTCAGCATGAGCTCATGGGCGTGTAGATGAACCAACTACAACCACATAGTGCTGCCTACAGGAGAACTGAAGATACATAGCAAAAAAAGTTTTTGAATATTACATCGAAACTGCTGCAACCAGGTCAATCCATCGGTTGTGTAATATCACATTGTACGATGTACATTGATTTGGCGAACAAAATTACATCCATTGATGTAATATTGTATCTGCTTTTTGCTATTACATCATTATTTCATACATCAGCTTGAATTACGTTGATCGATATTACATTTTTTTTTGCTGTGTACAAAGCATGCCTATATCGCGATTTAAATATATGAATCACAAACGACAGACGGAGCGGTTCGAAAAGTTTGGTGACGAACCTGCTATTGCAATTTTTCAGTGTACCACATGGCAACACTGCTACTGGATTGTACTATAATAGAGATCTCGAAGCGCAATCTCACGAACACTAAAATTCAACATCCATATAGAGATTGCTGATGTTTATCGTACGCACACTTCGTCATAGTGGAAAATTTTCCCGATGAAAACAAATTACTGACACAATCATACTTTAGCAATCTCTATATAAAAATGAAGAAGAAGAAGAAACAAAAAGGTATCGCGGTATCACAACTAATTAAAAAGGTAGCGCGCGGTCTCACGCACACTTTTGTGCATCTGGAGAACTGAATGGACTAGAATATTTTGGTTCTATCTCGTTCACTCTATACTCAAAACTGAAATGCATAAAAATGACAAAATGATACACTCTTTGCACACTGTCAAAGATCATTGCACACAAAATCAACTTTGTTCAAATCAAAACAAAAATACTAGCCCATCTGGTGGCTGATGGCACAAGCTAATAAGAAAATTATATTACAGCTAACTACATTGTTTTAATTGATTTCTTCGCCAGTTAGTCGTCTGTCACTTCGTTTGTGATTGTATCGAAATTTATGTTTTCTCCCGTACAATAAATTAACAATAAAATTTTATTGTACTTGAAATTCAACAGTAAAAATCATTGTAATTTCAATGTATCATTACGCATTTCTCACCAAATTGAACAAATAGGCGCGTTTTCACTTATTAAAAAGTGTGATAAAAGTGCACGTTTACGTCTAATCGTTTGGTTGTCTTCGGTGCACTTATTCCTTATGGAGTAAGGAATAAGTGCACCGAAGACAACAAAACGATTTGACGTAAAAATGCACTTTTTTCACACTTTTTGCATTTTTGGAGCAGTCCAGTTTTAGTTGCAACTAAGAATATTATATTTTTTTTTCAGGTTGCCCCTATAGATACTATAGATTCCATAGATAAGCGGAGGCACAAAAAGTTTGTTTGGCAACCATGAAAAATAAATGATCTTACTGGCATCCGTGAAAAAAGTTCATGCCATCATAGAACTTTTCGTTGTGCAGTTTTGTTTTGTTTCGTGCGCAAAAGTTCAAAATAAAGTGCAAAGCAAATCTTTGCAACAATGAATCGAGGAATAGTTTGCTTTATCTATCCTTCCTGCGTTGTCCGCGAAATAAATCGGAATGTGGAGTGTGGAAAGCGTTTTGTACTCATAATATTACAATACTTCTCCCTCAAACATCACCATGATGACGTCATGCTCGTTTGGCTACATTATACTTTTCCTCCGCTTATCTATGGAATCCGATGGAATCTACACAGCAAAAAAAATGTAATATCGATCAATGTATATTATAATTCAAGCTGATGTATGAAATAATGATGTAATAGCAAAAAGCAGATACAATATTATATCAATGAATGTAATTTTGTTCGCAAAATCGATGTACATCGTACAACGTTATATTACACAACCTATGGATTGACCTGGTTGCAGCAGTTTGGATGTAATATTCAACTACTTTTTCTGTGTATAGTAAATATCTATAGTTGCCCCTAAAGAGCCTGAATTTATAAAGAGACGACATGTTAAAATTGGAACAATCGAATGTCTGTCAAAGTCATAGGAAAAGTCATTCCAATCGAGATAAGATGTCGCCTCCCCGCATAAACGCAAACCATCACTTGACCTTACCGATAAATGGTTATAAATTGTTTATAATCCCTCCTAAACTTTAACTGAAATGGTTTTGGAACCTTACATGAACGTGTGTGTGATAAAGTTTTAACCTTATGTATTATGGTTTTTAGGAAGCGGACCTTACAAATAATGGGTCGTTAAGAACCATTACCATTCCAAATCCTTGTTTTATCCATACATTTTCGGAAAGAGAACTATATTAGAACGTTTTTACTTATGGTTTGAGAACATTAATGATTATGGTTATGGTAGTCAGTAAGGTCCATTAATCGTTTTGTATTATCGCTCAACTTTACGTGGAATATATCGCGAACTGATAATTATTAATTTACAGGCAACCAATTCGCGATATATTCCACATAAAGTTGATCGATGTTACAAAACCATTCATGGGCCTTACTGACTACCATAACCGTAACCATTAATGTTCTCAAGCCATAAGTAAAAACGTTCTAATATAGTTCTCTTTCCGAAAATATATGGAGAAAACAAGAATTTGAAATGGTAATGGTTCTTAACAACCCATTATTTGTAAGGTCCGCTTCCTAAAAACCATAATACATAAGGTTAAAATTTTATCACACACACGTTCATGTAAGGTTCCAAAACCATTTCAGTTAAAGTTAAGGAGGGATTATAAACCATTTATAACCATTATCGGTAAGGTCAATTTATGGTTCGCGTTTATGCGGCTCTATATAAATTCAGGCTCTTTAGTTGCCCCTTATCCGGTCTATTCTTTCTCCCTCTGCGCATTTTGCCCTCATTCTTCGAGCGCACCGTCATCATCATCACCAAATCACCGTCGGGGTCGGCTTCGGCTCACGTCTCTATCTGCTGCTGCCATCAGCGGTGATGACTGTCATTCGCCTTCTGTCAGTCAACCCGAGCCGTGAGAAAAATGTGAAAAAATAAATTGCGTGTGTTTTGAATTCGCCTACAGTCGGTCAGTTTTTCGAATTTTTACCGTGACAAAGTGCTCCAATCGTCGCCGAAAATCGTTGCAAACTGCGCATCAATGGCTCTGGAACCGTTTGCATGTTTTATGGTAAGTGTCCTGCCGCCGGATGCGAGCGTAAATTTCACTTTTCCCGTGGCAAGGTCTCGGCGGCTGCGGCGGCAGTGTCTCCTCCGTTTTTTTTTTTCGGGTGTACGTGATGGAAGCGAGCAGAGCAAACTCCTCCAACACACGGACACGGGCACCGACATCGACGACGACAAGAAAAATCGCCAATCTCATCATCAGTAACTGGGGCTCCTCGCACACAGTGACGGACGGTGCATAACATTTTCCAACGGCGGGCATACACATGAACGCGGCGGGTACATTTTCGGTACGAGCGGCGTTTTCTCCCGACTAGTGGCTGCTGGTTATGTATTTATGTATAGTACGAGTGCATCGCAATGTCCGTGTCGGCTTCGCCTTCGATTGGTGGTGTTTTGATGTACCTAGTTGCTATACACATAAACGCACCACGGCAAAATGCCACCACCATACAGAGGCATGATGTCGTACAGTATCTTATTTTGTGAGACTATGGAATTTATGCTGGACATACATGCACATAATATTGACTGTACCGACCGTGCCGTTCGAACCGGTGTTTTTGTTTGATTTAGCAAATTTTCCGTGCATTTAAAGAAAATTCTAATGGCGTTAAAATTTTTCCCAAATCTTCACCAGGATGTGGAGAATTCCCGTTCCTACATCGACGAGCTTTACTCGGATGACATCTACAAGTGCCAGGAGGCGATCGTGTGCCTGAAAAATGCCGTCATCGGGTCGAACAAAAAGAAAGGCTCTGTCATTTCACAGGGCATCGTTCCGCGGTTAATCTCCCTGCTGCGCGATGATACGAAAGATCCAAGCCTGCAGCTGGATGCAGCCATCGTCATCGGGTCGCTAGCCAAGGGAACAGAATCTCAGGTGCATTCGTTGATCTACTACGAAACTGTCCAGGTGCTGTTGAATATCGTGCTCAATCCAGGCACGGATCGGCGTCTCATGGAAACCTGCTTGGGGGCGTTGAAAACGATTCTCCAGTATCCGTTTGCACCGATCGAACTGCTGCACTGCAACATTGGTAATCTGGTGCGATTGATACAGTTGGCTTCACCAAGCAGCTCTATCCAGTGTCAGGTGTACGTGGCAAACATCTTTGTCCCGCTCTGCCACTCGTCCCACCAGCAGAAGAATCTCTGTCAAGCTAACGTGATTCCGTTCCTCGCACGGCTGATGACGACCCAGCATACGATCCTACAAGTACCTGCCCTCAAGTGTCTCGCGGCCATGTGCTTTACAAACAAGTACGTGTCGGACATTGTGTGTATGACCTGTCACGAGGAACGCTCGATTCTGGACATTCTGACCGGTCTGCTTTCACGAACCCGTGACGTGCAGATTCAGCTCTCGGCTAGTCGCTGTCTAACGTATCTGCATCGGTCGGGATCGCTGCGGGCAGATGACTATAGGATCGTCTACAAAACATTACCCAGTTTGGCACGGCTCTGTTCGGAAGACTTTGACGAGGAAACCCGTGCAACGGCCGCCGAAACGTTGGCTTATCTGGCAGAGATCGACTCGGAACTGCAACGGCTAGCGGCCATCAGTAACCATCTAATTTGCTCGTTGGCGAATTTGATTCGATGTCCATCACCACTGTCGCGACAGGGAGCTTTCCGATGCTTTGCCTCGCTGGCAGCAAACGACGAGGATATCCGTAAACGAATTATCGAAATGGACGGACTGATGGAGGAAGTGCTGAATGGATTGAAGGACACTTGTCCGGAGGTAAGAACTCCCCAAATTCAACCAACTCACTCACTCAATCGATTGCAATCTATACCGAAGGTACGACTTTCCGCCGTCCGGTGTCTACATTCGCTGTCGAGGTCAGTGCAATTATTACGGACAACGTTCCAGGTAAGTCCACAGCCCCCCACGTCCCCAAAACTTCCATCCAACTGATACGACTTCTTCCAGGATCATTCCGTATGGCGCCCGTTGATGGATTTGCTCGTAGGCGAACCCTCGCTAGAACTGCTTACGGTGGTAACGTCGACTATCTGCAACCTGCTGTTGGAATTCTCCCCCGCAAAGGAACCCATGCTCGATTCCGGAGCGGTGGAAATGCTGTGCGAACTGACGAAGCACAGTGATCCAGCACTGCGACTCAACGGCAGCTGGGCGCTGATGAATATGGCTTTCCAGGTACCATCTGAGTGTTGATCGCACTTCTGTTGGAAATTGACTCACCATTATTTTTTGCCAGGCCGAACAAAAAGTCAAATCCAAGATCATCGACACGCTGGGGACGGATAGGATATTTCAATTGTTAAGCGATTCGGATGAACGGGTCATCATGAAAACCCTTGGGCTGTTGAGGAACCTGCTGAGCAATACGTTGCACATCGAAATCATCATGTCGGAGCATTCGTCGGAGGTGCTGAGGGCGGTAAGTTGCGCTGAATAAACTGCAGTGCCATTTCCACATCAACTAACCGGATCCGCTCGATCGTTACAGGTGAACCTAGTGCTCGATGGACCCCATCCGCCCGAGGTGAAAGAGCAAGCTTTAATAATCATAAGTAACATTACGGCCGGTGCGCGTGATAAGGACTACGTCATGGAGGACGAAAACATCATCAAGAAGATACGCGAATTTTTGGTACGGTTTCAGCGGATTGCAACTCTTGACCATGTAACTGATATTCCTTCTGGCTTGGCCATTTGCAGGTCGTATCGGACAATAAGCTACAGATGGGCGCCGTGTTTGTGGTGCGGAACCTGATGGAGAAAGGTGGCCGGCAGAAGATGCTCCGCGAGTCCGGCATTCTGGAGAATCTGGAACAGCTGCTGCACATGACGCCCCGTGATTCGCAATTTTACGAAGAGTAAGTATGGATATCACGAGTTTGCAAGCGTTTTTTCGCCCCATTGTCCCGGTGTACAAACCGACATATATTTATGTTCGATTGATCATATTTTGCGATTTGATACACCGCCCACGGAGCCATGGTCCAACATGGTTGTTTGGTCCAACACGAGGGATTGCACAAAATTCACGTGGTCTTTGCTTTTTCGGAAATAAACGACCGCAATGTTATTCGAGAGTACCTGGAGCAAAACATGTGGCGTTTCGTTTGGGTAGGGCAAAGACCGTGCGCGGCCTATTTAAACAAGTTGGTTCGTTAAAAAGGTGAAAACTTGCAAAGTTGTAAAATAAAGACAATTGTACAATTTAAACAGCGTGTTCTCCGCTAATACGGATTTTATTTACGAAAAGCAAATGGTTCGAAGTGATGGTTTTAGAAATTACAGATGCCTGGCAAATGCCTTAATACATCACTTGTGAGGGGGGGGGGGGGGGGGGGTAGAATTATAACGTGCGAAGTTCAGCACGTTTGATTGATAAGATTTGTTATAAAGGATCAAAAGATAAATGCTTTTTGTGTACTTGCAACTGGTGAGAGCGAAGAGCTTCATGTGCCAACATGAAATATAACCAACTGTGGATTTTGAAAATGTGTAGGCAATGGTACTGACAATCTTTGAATCTGATTTAAACCCACATTAAAACACATAATATTTAATTCGGCACCATTCCGGTTCCTAACTATACATGCTCAATAGTTTTCTAAAACGTTTTTCGCTCGCTCGATTCGTTCGTCATTTAATTTTATTCGTTACGATAGTGTGCTCTCTCTTTTTCGCGGTGTCAAGTGACGCATCGTTGGACCCCAGCCTGGGGAAACATTCGAGTAGTGGCGCGATTTCTACCAGGATACGATCCCGGACAGACGCCACCGAGAGTATAAATTGTGCGCAAAAAGACGCAGCAGCGTGAGCATTTACGCTTTAACGCGGTTGATAGTTACTAGCATGTCCGGGTTCTGGTAGTAATCATTATACGCGAGCCTTCATTGAACCGAAGACTACAAATCAAGAAGACTGGCAACTCTGCCAAAAATCAGGAGACAGTAACGGCAACGCCTCTTCTGAGCCAAAGTGGAACCGGTGTATGATGATGGTGTGTGTTAATTCACGAGTTGTGACGCTCGTCAACTTGGCACAGTACTCGCTGACCATTTGAATGTCACTGGCCAATCCGACACTGTTGTTATCATTATCTGGAAGAGGTCGGTCGATTCCAAGAATTGTTAAAGCATACAGAGGATCACTATCCAGTGGTTTCATGTTCTGACAACATCTAAAATGGAAATATATTCTTTATCAATACGTACCGTTTGGGATTGTAGCATAAGGGTAACTCTAAGACTAGAAGGTCCCGAAGAAACGTGCTCAAGTTTTTGGCTCAGCTCTGGTACTATCTTCGGTTCCAATCTAATCGATGCACCCCTCGAAACATTGGAAAATCCATGAACCCCTCATTTTATCTGTCAAACTTTCATAGCGAATCAAAACAAACATAGTGTAGTACTAGAATTTGGACTAGAATGGGGTACTTTAAAAGATTTGCTTGGGACCAATAGGCTAGTCAAGTAGTAAGCCAATTTTAAATCGTTAGTTTCCACCGGTTGATTGTAGTCCTTCAACCTTTCATTTTCATTTCCTCCAACATTAGCTCCTGCTACGCCTTCCGTTGGATCAACAATCAATACGAAACTAACGATCTCAAATTGGCTCACTACTTGACTAGTCTATTGGTCCCAAGCAAGCGATTAACGTACCCCATTCTAGTTGAAATTCTAGTACTACGCAATGTTTGTTTTGATTCGCTATGAACGTTTGACAAATAAAATGAGGGGTTATAGGGTTTTCCTATGTTTCGAGCGGTGAATCGATTAGCATGGGACCGAAGAGAGTACCAGAGCTGAGCCAAAAAGTTGAGCACGTTATTTCGGGACCTTCTAGTCTTATACCTTGTACAGACATACAAAGTACACTGTTGTACTACCGTTGTACTTCTTTAAGCTAGTACCTCAAATTGTACGTTTTGAGGTACTGGATTAAAGGAGTACAACCAGGGGGAAATGAATAACGATTTTAAATTGATTCACTGCTTGAGTAGCCTATTGGTCCCAAGTACTTCTATGGCGTACCCCATTCTAGTTGAAATTCTATTACTACACTATGTTTGTTTTGATTCGCTATGAAAGTTTGACAGATAACATCAGGGGTGTGTGGATTCATGCAGAACATGCAGGGGTGAGTGAAATAGCTTGAGACTGCTTGGGACCGTTGTTCTGGTACTGAGTGAGCCAAAAATAATAATGATTTTCTTCGGGACCCAGTGGTCTTAGAGTTACCTCTATGGTACTGCTTTGTATGTCTGTCAATGGTATTAGAGTTACCTCTATGGTTGGATCGTGATGTAGGTACCGGATCTTTCTTCTTTTTGAATCAGCTTCCAAATGACGGTAGCTCACTCAATGGTGGTGGAAGCTGCCAATTCCTTATAATTGATTGCTTTCAACAGGCAAAATAAACAATATTTCGATTCCTCGTTCACAAGCAAAAGTTACTTTCACTAGGTATCGATTCGAGTTTCAATCCTCTACTTGATCCACCATGACAAGTTTTTCGGTTTGGAGTTGGAAAACCTCTGGCTTGCTGGGATTAGGATACAAATTGCTGTGAAATTTTGTAGAGCAAAACAAAAACAACAACGAAGCCTTGTTATGATTATTCGTTTCGGTGACATTAGGTCACACACACACAATCACTGTTTATGAGCAATCTCACTAACACTTGTGCTTCAAAGTTCCAAAGGCGCTGTTATCAGTGACGTTTGACATGTGTATGGGAGAAGGGAACAGTTGCCAGTCTTCTTGATTTGTAGTCTTCGATTCAACATAAAGACGTTGGTGTTCAGCGCTGTAGATGCTGAATGCTACCCTTGACTTCCAGCAGAAAAACGAGGTCATTCCGATATGGATGTATTCGCGGCAGTATCGGCAAGTTTGACGTTGTCGTCTCCGAGGTCGTCTCGCCGTCTATGGTGATCCACGGTTCTATGTTCCGAACTGCGATGACGTCGGCGATCTTTTAATCCGACACGTCTTCGGACAAATCGTAGAGCCTCACCTCCACAGCTCCCTCCTCCAGCGTGATTCTCAACGGATACTTTTTCCCGTCGACTGATATCTCGTGTTTGTTGTCATGTTCTTCGCAAATTCGTTGCTTAGTCAACGACCTTCACGAACGAAACACCGAGGGTTCGGATGTTCTGGATCCGTAGCACTTCACCTTGCTTCAGACCCAAAATGGTCGCACAGAAATCATGCACTTTGGCCATGTCCCGTTTGTTTGGCACGTTCGCAAAATCTATGCGAAATGTGTTTTCTCGACGGAGCGTTGAGCAGAAAACGAAGAAAAAACACAGTTGGCACTGGTAAAAAATTGTGTGTATTCGACTTCCACGAACGGTAGCAAAAAAACGTCTGTTCAGGTTGGAAGTTGAGCGCTCACTCGGAGAATGTAAAATCAAAAGAAGCCGAAATTCCCCAAAAAGTTCCTTGTCTGGCAAGCAAACAGCAGTTGTGGACTGAAAAACGAAGCTTTCGTTACTTCTGGGACCATGAACTAGCAAATTTACCAGGAGCAGTGGCTACGGAAAGAGATTACTGCCTTTTCTGGAGCAGCATAAGGTGGGTTGCCTATTCTAGTCGGACTTGGCGAACTGCCACTACTCAAATTCCACCAAACAGTGGTACTAACCGGTGGAAACTTACGATTTTAAATTGGCTCACTACTTGACTAGCCTGTTGCTCCTAAGCAAATCGATTAACGTACCCCATTCTAGTCAACATTCTAGTACTACACAATGTTTGTTTTGATTCGCTATGAAAGTTTGACAGATACAATGAGGGGTTCGTGGATATTCCTATGTTTCGAGGGGTGAATCGATTAGCTTGGGACCGAAGAGAGTACGAGAGCTGAGCCAAAAACTTGAGCTCGTTTCTTCGGGACCTTCTGGTCTTAGAGTTACCTCTATGGTGGAACTGCAATTGACCTGAATTATTTCAAGCGCAAATGGAATTTGTCAGCCAAACAAGTGGGAACAGGGCTCGTGCAAAAGATGATAGGCCGTGTACGAAGAAAAGTTCGAGAATGCATAATAATTAATAACTGTTAAATAGAACTATGAAAAATGCAACGCATTTGTAAACCCCAACATTTGGGCCATCCATAGCCATACATGCCGGTCCCACGAAAGACCCGGAACATTTGATTTGTAACAGTGATGAATTTGATAAACTCGTTTAACAGTTCTACGACTCTTTTTAAAACGGCTCCTATTGTGCTTGAAAAGTCGTTTACGAAGTGCATTCAGTATTGGACCTCTCATGGCCACATGGTGTTCCCCTTGATGATCCTGAACATCCTTAAAAATCTATCTGCACGAATAGTAAGATACATACTCCATTTTGCCATCCCAAGGAGTCCGTTTGGCCATTATGGCCACACAGAACTGACTACAATCCGGAATAAATCCGGGTGAATGGAAAATGGCTAATCTGAGATGAAATTAATATTAATAATAACGATATTGAACCTAGTAACTACAAATTAATTTGTTTTGAACAATTAGAAATTAAAGGCTAAAGTGCAAGATGCCCCTAACTCTGAGCGATATAGAAATAGATTGTTTTCGCTGTGCGCTGACTTCAACCCATATGATTTATCCTATAAACAGTGGCGTCCAGTAACCTCACTTTTTACCTGTGCACCAACTTTCAAAGGCATCTGTTGAGTACACTATGGTGGGTAGTACTCAGAACAGATGGCGGTAGTGTGTAAACGTCAAACGCAAGGGAATTGACTGTGCGCGCCATAGGTGGCGGTACTACCATAGTGGTAACTCTATGACTAGAAGGTCCCGGAGAAACGTGCTCAACTGTTTGGCTCAACTCTGGTACTCTCTTCGGTCCCAAGCTAATCGATTCACCCCTCGAAACATAGGAAAATCCACTAACCCCTCATTTTATCTGTCAATCGTTTGCTTGGGACCAATAGGCTAGTCAAGTAGTGAGCCAATTTAAAATCGTTAGTTTCGTATTGATTGTTGGTACTACCAAGTACGATACTTTTAAATTTACCGTTAAATGCTTGTTCCATGAATAAGAGATGAACTAGCCCCAGGCTAAAAATCTCTATAATAAAGACTAAAAAAAAAAAAAAAACTTGTTCCATGAACAAGTTGCGAGTGTTATGTCCGTTTGTCTGTGCTTCTAGTTTACTCGATATCTATCCATTGCAAGCAATATTTTGATAGTTGCTTATGTTTTGAGAGCTGGTGCACAGGTAGATTGAGGTTAAGCCTATAAATGAAATAAACGAATCGTAACCTTTCAATTCGTCAGTTGCGTCGATTTGAAAAGTTGCGCTTGAAATACTCTCTTGTGCGCATATATAATTCACTGTTACACAGTCTTAAGTCTGGCTGACTATAAATAATAAAAAATCCTAAACGAAATAAATGAATTTCTCTTTTTGCTTTTTTCTTCCACCCAATGGATTGCTACACCACACAGCATACGGCAGGAGATTTTAAGGTTTGACTTCTCGGACGATCACTGAAAGCCCTGAATTGAGGCCGTTTCTCCACGTGGGCCACCAGAGGGAACCACCATTTCCTGTGTTTGTGTTAGCATCATTGTTATTGACGAGTTGTTGCGACTGTTTTCCCATCTTGCGTGCTTGTGTTTGTGCTTGTTTGGGTGTGTGTGTGTGTGTGACTGGTAGATATGGAACGGTTATGGTTATCATCAAATTATCCCTTTCGTTGCGCTGCGCTATTCGGCAATTTTTCTAATTCTCGCTCATTCTACCTCTGTAACCAATGCGGTAACCGTTACATATTACGCTAAATAAGCGGTTGGAAACAATTCGGACGATAGAGAAGGTGTGTTGTGCGAACCAATACAGTAACGTTGCGATGGGATGTTTCAAAAGATCATGCTGGGAGTGAGTTCCTGCCTTAGAAGGGCAACGGTGAAAGTATCGAAATCTGTTTGTATATTTTCTTTGCATGGCAAGTGACTAACGGATAGGACTGCAAAGTTTGTTAAGTTTATTCTAATTTTATTAATTTATTTAAACACAAGTTAGTGTGCGTTTTGACTGGCTTGGCGATGGGCTCGAGATGCGGAATCACGCGATCACGTGTTTCCTTGTATAGCTTTTAGGTTCGTATTTGAAAATTTCTTTTGTATAAAATAAATCTACTGATTTCGTATTATAATAGTAGTAATCTAGTGCCCTCGGCCAATGTTATGTAGGAAGAAGGGAGAAAGTGACCGTAGGTGTATAATAGGAGACAGTGAACAACTGGAGATTATGAATGTAAATATTTCATTAAACTATGTGACTCAGAAACTGTATCGAAACAAATACCAGTCCTTGTAAAGTTGCATACAAGTCACATGGATCCTATTCGGATCCGAATCAGAATAGGAGCGATGGTGGGAAATCCATTTCCATGAAGGAACGAATAAGAACTGATGATCAAGTGTGGGAGAAAGTATGAGAGAGAAAAAAGGGACAGGCTCTTCCAGTGTAATGGAAATAAAACTACAAGACATACAGTGTGTGGCGTCAAAACGCATTTATACATAGCTACCAACCAACAATTGTAAAAAAAAAAACTATTGCGAAAGGACGCAATTTTCCGCTTGTTTCACGCAACGAGGATGCCAAAATCACCTGATGACAGTAAGCGACGACAACGGCTTACCAGAAATTGACAAAACAATGTTAAACGCGAGCGAAAGCAAGGTGAATTTTCAGACTAAATTGCGTACTGTTGTAAAGAAAAATTATAGATCTTATAAAATTTATTCCATACTAAGGGTGTTTGTACTAGTCCGAAATGTATCCATGTTTACAATATCACAACCTTTTAGGAAATCGATGTGATCATCAAAATAACATCGAAAAATGGTTCCCGTAATTTCGTTTCCCTGTAACCCTGCCCATGCTTTTAGATTAGCATTGTAAGTCCCACCTACATGAAGAATTATGCTATGGAACGGCTTGCCATACCCCGCCTCCATCAGCCAAAAATCCAGGAAATTATAATTGAGGCGGAGCATAATTCCAAGTAGGTGGGATTTACAATGCTAATCTAAAAGCATAAATAAAGGTACCGTCTGATAATTTCAGTGCTTGGTACTAAAATCGTTGATTCCATGCAATCATGTCACAAGTCGACATTTCTTATTAATGAGATTTTGATAGAAAATAACGGCAAATATTATGGAGTTTCATTCCGCAAAAAAAAACATTTTTAAATTCGTGAAAAATTAAAAGTTATAGGTAGATATGCCTTTACTACTTTTTCAAAAAAGCCAAAAAATAATAATAGCATTTAAGGCACATGTTGAGTTGCACAGCATATATATATATATATATATACTTAGACCTGTTCATTTTAAACGAAATGTTCGGAATGTAACGGGTCAACCGTGATTACTGTTCGTCATGTTAATTTGAACTTCTGTGCAAATTTTCAGCAAAATCGGTGATGATTTAGAGGTGCTTCAAGTTAATTGTATGTTTTTAAGGTAATTTACGGCTTACAATATTTGTATCTCGAGACTGAAACAACGAAAGCTGCTGTAACAACTTTCATAGCAAAGTTTAATGTGTTATGTATCAACTTTGTAACCAAAGGTTGACTATTCGAAGTGATTTGATTGAAGTTTGACTTAGTTTCATGCTCGAAGATATCTTAAAAAGTGAAGAATTTTAAAGTATTTGTTCTACGAATTTTCCACCCATATGATATAAAAATGTGTAGTGTACGGCATAATGTTCCTCATATTGTTCTAGAAGTTTCGTTGCAACATAGTTTTCGTGTATATTTTATAGATTGAGAGATAAAAATCAGAAAAGAGGCCGTTTTAGTTAAAATTCACAAGACAACAGAACCAATAAAAGTCAATTAGATTGACAAAACATAGTTGCATTGCTTTTCAATGACGACCGATGACTGTTTCATTGATATATGATTTTTTCATAAATATGAATCCTCAGTAGACGTGCTTTTTTATCAAAGGCAAGTGTCACTCGAACCATAACAGCAATTTATAAAATAACGAACATTTGAATACGTGCTCAACTTTTTGGCTCAGCTCTGGTACTATCTTCGGTCCCAAGCTAATCGATTCACCCCTCGAAACATAGGAAAATCCACTAACCCCTCATTTTATCTGTAAAATTTTCATAGCAAATCAAAACAAACATAGTGTCGTACTAGAATAGAATTCCGACTAGAATGGGGTACGTTAATCGATTTGCTTGGGATCAATAGGCTAGTCAAGTAGTGAGCCAATTTAAAATCGTTAGTTTCCACCGGTTGCTTATACTCCGTTCACATTACAGCGTATATCACGTGATATACGATGTCTTGCAATGAGCACTCATACATCTAGTTTTCGCTGGGTATCCTATGAATGCTCCTTGCAAGGCAGTAATGATATAGACTGTAATGTGAACGGAGTATTTCTGTTGATATCAATTCCGTTTTGTATGTAGTTTGTTGAAACAATTATTTGAAAAGTAATAAAAGTAACGAATTTGTCTTGATTACAAATCAAGTCCACGGTGATGAATGACGGGATGGGAAGAATTTGTTTCATTTTCTAAACACGCACTCCATAGCTGAAATCTGGAAAATAACTCTTTCAAACCTCACTGCGAATTGCTATCACCTCTCCATACTGGCGCATATGGTTGATGATAGCCACATGTCATCCATGTCATCTGGAAGATCATGCAAGCGTACGTCGACAGCGCTGCTTTTGACATAAATTGGAATCGAGATCTTTTTCCCCTCATACTCCATGAAATGCTTCAGGTGATGAGCTGAAGCTATTCTTCTTGCTACTTCGTTGTTTTGCATACCCAAGTATATAAGTAGTAGAGTAGTAGAAATCGTTTGATTTCCGAAATACACGGCCGCTTAGGCAGAATGGATGTATCCAAAACGACACAGTTTTCTCGCAAAGCCCGCATAGCTATAGCTATGGGCAACAAAACTCACGCGCTTCACTGCCTATAATCCCATATCAGTCCCATATGGAAAAAGTAGGCATTGAGAAAATGGCAGTCGAAGTTACAAAGTGCAATTCCCATGTAAATATGTGATAAATGATAGTAAATTTATTGAACATTTTTTTAGGTTAAAATCTGTTGCAATGAAGCTTGCATGTTTTGTTATATCAAGGAAAAATATGGCAATTCAAAAAGCAGACCTTCAACTTGAACTACGGGCGATTGAATTTCAGGATGGGACTGATATGCGATTATTTTGCTTGATGAGACAAACTGACCTGATGTTGTTTTCACATTTTTCATGATAAAAGTTCATAGTTTTATCACATAATATGAAAGTAGATGCCAATTGATAGTGGATAGCGTTGTTATCTCAAAATTGACGAAAATCCATATGGGACTGATATGCGATTATAGGCAGTTCACACAATAGAAATCTGAGAATGGTATTATACACGCAGGCAAAAGAATGTAAGAATTCCATAAGAACCACTTATGAATTTCAGCCACAAGAAATCGATATGAATTTCGTAGATTTGCCTTATGAAAAATAATGTCGACAAAAAATAATTAAACGGAGCAGACTGGAATCGAAGCATGGCGATTACGGGTTCTGTGTCTGGACCACTCGTCTGTGAACGCTTATGAAATTCATTCCGGCGCCACCGGGATTTTATGAGGCATAAAATCTCACGCCTTGCTTTGGAATGGAAGTAAAGCCAACAATCAATACGAAACAATCGATTTTAAATTGGCTCACTACTTGACTAGCCTATTGGTCCCAAGCAAATAGATTAACGTACCCCATTCTAGACGAAATTCTAGTACTACGCTATGTTTGTTTTGATTCGCTATGAAAGTTTGACAGATAAAATGAGGGGTTAGTGGATTTTCCTATGTTTCGAGGCGTGCATCGATTGGCTTGAAACCGAAGATAGTACCAGAGCTGAGCCAAAAACTTGAGCACGTTTCTTCGGGACCTTCTGGTCTTAGAGTTACCTCTATGGTAAAGCCGTTGCTCCCCGGTCGATGAGTTAGTTGATGTGTCGATAGGTACGGTCCAGGTGTGGGAACTGGCTCCCTGGCGTCGGTAGCATTGGTACTTTGTACGGAAAACAAATCAACAAATCAGAACTCGAAAACATTACTTCCTATCAAAATGACGTCTGAGACAAAGTTGTAGGAAACTGGTTTCAGAAAAAATCCACACTTTAGAAAAATCAAAAATTTTCATCGAAACATGAAAAAAAAACTGATTGCCCCTAGCGAATAATTATGCAAAGTTTCATGGAATTCTGAGAGCAGGGCTGGTAGCGCAGATGCGATATAATCAGTGGCGTCGCGTCCACATGTGCAACCTGTGCACGACACAGGTGTAAATAATTTAAAAAAATGCGTTTAGATTTTTATAGATTTTATGGCCACATTATAGCTGTACTTCTTTACTCCAGACCACAAGTGACCATGAATAAACTATTTTATAGTGTGGCTCGATTGAATCTTCGACCTTGGTTTGCTTCAAAAAGGATTAAATTCAGTTCGGATGGTCTGCCTAATCCCTAATGCATTGATTTCTAAACATGTCGATATCACTACCATGACAAAACTCGTTAAATAGTGTACCTAAAGCGAGCTTTTTTGGGTGGCGGGTGGCAAGTTTGTGAATGGTCAAATGCCTGATGTAAGCCAAGCAGACCTTCTATCACCTCTTGAAACATACCACCAATTTTCCACAATACATGGCAGTTTGAACCACTAGTTGTAATTGAAATTTTCAGCAGTCACGCGTCAAACAGGAGCAACACGGAAACAGCAGTCTGGTACGCTTTGGACGTGTATCATACTTGCAGACCGGTATGAATGTGTGAGCTTAAATTAGAAGAACATTTGTAATGTATGGGTGCCTAAAGTGTGCATTTCTTGCTGTGCACTTGGATATCTGATTGCAGGCAAAGAGAGTAATGGAGAAAGAGAGCGCAAAAGCTCGCTCTCACCCTCTTGTCAGTTGTAAATCTCTCAATCCAAATCTCTCTGATGGTTGCGCCGGTGCGGCTGTACAAACTTATGAGCTTCCCTGGTCCATTCTGATAGTGTTGTTCTGATGAATAAAGAGTTGATTAATTCAAGTTTGCTACCCAGGGGACTTCATGAATTTTCTCTAGGTTATGAAACTGTTTTGTGTCAAAAAATGTTTTCGGAAGTGTTTGACGGATATATACATGACATTACGCTTCAGTCGAAAGAGAACTCTTCGACTTCCTTGCGATAAAAACGAGAATTAGTTAAGTTTTGCAATTCCTCCTACTTCGGTTAACGTAAAAAGGGCCATACAAGTTTTGTTTACACAAGATGATAGGCCCTTCAAATGTTACGTTAGGTAGTGATTAATATAGTAATAGAAAATATGTCCTTCGAATTCACGGAGCATTGATAAAAAAACCTCAAAAACTAATATGTGGTGGAAAACTGTAACGAACAAAGTTTGGTGCACAGGTAAACAAATGAGGCACGCGACGCCTCTGGATATAATAGTAGTGACTTTAGTGACTAAAATTACGGAAATAGTGACCAAATAGTGACTTGTAAATACTAAATAAGTAACCATTTATATGGTAACATATGGTGACTAGCAAATAGTAATTCCCATTTTTATGATCTTGAATTTGATTCTGCGTTCGAAATCTCTAAATATTTGATATATCTAGGTAGATAACTTTGATAATTTGCTATGAAATTTTCACAGACTTTCTTCAGAATAATCTCAAGAACTTTTTTAGAATAATTCCCCT